TGTCTGGAGCACCACTTGAAGACCATCGGCATTGACAAAATCACCAACGGTCCATTGCAAAAGATAGCTTTACTTGGAACATCTTGTGATGATACCTTTAACACCACCAAACAAGATCTGCCTGTCCTGGGTCCTCAGGAAGGACTTGATCGGTGGATAAAGATTTGCCCTCCTTTCCAATTGTCTGTGTCCTCCTTTGCCTGTTCAGATATCTGGCAATCCTAGGTAGACCTGTGTCCACAAATCTCCAGCTGACAGGTTGATGGGCAGGGGAGGGATGTGGGGTGAAGCAGTGATGATCTTGGAGAAGGACTGCAGCAATGGCAGTTAACAACATGTTAATTAAGCCTAGGGAAGGAAGAAGATGTTAGAAAGAGACTTAAGGTGACCCTGCCTTGACTGTCTTTGGTATCAGGAGAGAAGGGAAAATGCTGCCAGGCTTTCAAGATTCTGTTACTACAGCTTATATCAATAAAGAAGAGTTTCAGTATTTCTTGTGGAGTCTGTTTCCTGACCTGGCCTACCTCAAAGGGCTGACAAGCAGGAAGGAACTTTCAGGGCACATTGAGAAATCTCCTGCTTCATCCTGTGCTTGTCCTCCACCCCACTAATCTGTCAACTGGCCAGTTTTGGTCACAGGTTTAATGGTCTTCCAGAAATGTCCAAACATAGACCAGCTGAGTGAAGTGGAGCAGGGTGCTGGAGTAAATCAGGAGGGAACTCACACAGTGCCTCAAGAATGCTCCTGCTTCCTTGTCCGTTGACCTATATTTACCTGTTAGTTGGTCTGTGTTTGACTGAAGTTTACTTCCTGTCACTTGAGCCACAAGGGGAAACAGCACTTCTGTCAATTTCACCCCAGTTCCCAAATATTCCAGATCAATTCATGCTGCAGCAAGTGGCCACAGTGGGCCTGGAAGTATCCTGTGAAGGCTGCAAGAGAGCACTGGAGCGTCCTGCCCTTCCGGTAGGAAACATGGCACCAGGAAGCCCCTTGTCATCAGAAACAGCCGAAATTCTGTAATGCTCTCATAGGGGATATAACCAGGAATATATTTCTATCCTAGTTTAAATCAATTGGTAACCCTTCTTTTACAAACAGATTGGCTGGTTTTGTGAAAGACCACTGAAGACATGTTTAGTAACAGATTTAGCAGCCCATTTAATGCCAGAGCAGCATGTTATGAAATTCCAGTCAGACAAAATCCAGGCAGATGTCTCCAAGGAAATCAGATGTATTGGCTCTTCAGCTGCCCAAGCCAGAATGACCATAGTGACCCATGACTGAAGTGGAGAAGGTTGGCCCACAGCAGCCTAAACAGGCTGATGGGACCTTGGCAGATGCTGGACCTTACTGCATTATTACCAAGGTCATGGGCGATGCATAGATCATTCATATGCTAAGTCTTGTGCTTGGAGAAGTTGGAAAACCCAATTTAAATACTGCAACCACTAAGGATGAATGTAAGAATGGTGGACTTGCATGAGACAAAGGGTTCATGGGGACGTGTCCTCTAAAAACGGGGATGAGGATGAGCCCCAGGTCTGTTTTGGGGTTGACTTAACCCCCCCTGGTTAGTTTACTGAGTCCCATTAATCCCTTTTGGGTTTCCTGTAACAGATGACCCCCCTCTCCCTCCCTTGACCTAAATGGGCTGCATTATGGGAATAGGGTCAGCATTGGAATTGTGACATTGAGACAGTGAGGAGATGGTGGCTTCTCCTTCAGAGGCCCAGTGGTCTCCTGGCAGGAGTTGTGACAACACTGGTCCACTGACTTTGAACTCAGTGTTGCTTGTGCTGATTCACACAGCTCTCTGGGTTTCAGGAATCTTCAGAAATATGCAGTTCTGTTTCTTATGTAAGAACACCTCCTGCATGGCTCTGTAAATCTGGGACTATCACATTGTTAAGATTTCAGAGCAATGGTAATGTTTTTGCTAGTATAATGGGGGTAAAACTGTTCACATGTGCTTCTTAACCAAGGTTTCAAAATTTAGTGCGCCACAAATCCAGGGCCAAAGACTGGAGATACTTTTTCAGCGATTTACGTGGACTAGGGAAGTGTAGAGATTTTATAGCCCAAATATTTATCTTTTTTGGCCTGATTTCCATTCTCCCTCATTATTGAGGTTTGGATGAGTATATTACGAAGCTGCAGATTCTATCTTTTAAGAATTCAGGAGCTGGGTGTTGTCCGCATTGTCTCGCTTGCAGTCATGCTTACAGGGGGCTCGGGGTAGAGTCTGAGAGCACTGAAGCAAGCCAATGTGGATGGGCAAGTGATTCTACTTAGCTGTAAGAAGCCGTGCAACTGAGTAGGAATGGCTGCATGGAGACCAAATGTGGGGGAGAGAGAAGATGAGAATTGCTGTGGGAAAAAACCTCTCTCCCCCCATGGTCTCTTTCCCACCTGATCGCTTAGCTTTTCAACTTGTTTTTGAACTAATGTGTGCAAGAGAACAGCTTTTAATTTGCTCAATACCTATTGATGAGGCGCATATTGATAGTCTGTCTCCCTTTAATGTGAGTTTTCTTAAGAGGTACTTAGCAAAGGAGTTAATTCCCTGACCATCTAATTGAGCCCTTTCATACTCAGGTCTCTCTAATTGCACATATAAATCTTTGGAGCACAGATTGCATCTGCAGAGGGCTAAAGTAAAACAAGACATCACTTTTTTTTTTTTAACAACTGTGCAAAGATTCTAACATGGGTTCTTATTAGAAATTTTATTAGTGCAGTTGTGCAGGCCAAACCTTAACCTGAAATTGTATGTGGATATTTTAATATTGCTTTTTCATGCAAAGCAGCTCCCAAAATAAAAGTATTGGAAATCTAGATCCCACAAGAAACGCCATGAAAATGTGGGATCAATTCATTTTTGCTTGCTTGTAGAACCAATTTTTGTTTACTGAGAATAAACCTCGCACAGAGAGCCACTTTCAGCCAACAAATGGCCCAAATGCCAGGCAGAGTGGATTTTGTCTTTTTGTTTTGCTTCCAGCGGTTTTTCTACTAGGAAATAGACTTGAACATTGCATTTTAAAGATGGAAAGAACTCTTAGAAATGCATCTATTCCACTTAGATACCTTCTATAATTTACTACATTTGTATCATGCCCTTAATGATACAGAAACCCAGGGTGGTGAACATGGTGAAACACCCTTGTGTTGTCTTAAGAATCCTGAAGCGCTCCCAGTTTGATTCAGTGGTAGAGCCAGCCAAGCCAACCAGACCTGCCCCTCAATGGGGCACAGAGGCCGAAGCGTGGCGGGGGCAAGGAGGGAGGTCCGCACCAGTTGCTTGGCACAAGCTGGGTAGGGCTGCAGAAGACGTAGACTTCATAGACGTCTGCTGGTGCCCAAAGGTTGTCTGAGGACTTATTGCTGCTGTGTGAAGGCTGAGTAGCCTTTGGAAAGATGGCGCCCCAGCCGTGGAGTATGCCCCCTCCTCAGGAAAGGCCCTTTGGTTTTACCAGAAGGGCAAATGTCAGCTGAACCTAATGTTTATTTGGTTCCTCTAATGCAGGTTTTGGGGGGCTCTTATGCTGTTATTTTGTTATTGATTTTATGTTTTTTTGCCTTTTTTAGTGATTGTGAGATAGTCAAGTCTTTTCACTGAAAGGAAGCATGTAAAAATTTTGCTTAATAAAATCAGAATAAGAATAGACAAGATGATTTCCCAAGTTTTGAAGCATGGGTATTAGCCCTACCCCAAGATTTCTGAATTCAAATCCATCTATACCACTATGGGATATACTGCGTCCACACAGCCAGTTATGCTGCAGCGATGGGTTTCTCAAAGCTCACCCCCAAGAGAATTTCCTTGGAGGGCCAGATATTTGACCAATTCAATGGCGTTTCTCTTCACAGGAATGCCACTGAGTTGCCCCCCACCCCTTTTCAGGTATTGCAGCCAACTGGCCTCATGGAGCATCTGACCCCCCGACAACCAGCTGAGCCTCTGGCATCCATGAAAGTGAGACCACATCCTTGGGGGCTCAAATGTATAGGAGGGTAGAGGTGACCCACAGCAACAAGTTGAGGGTGGTGGTGATGCTGAGATCAGGAGACCTAAATTTGAGAAAGGGAAGAGGCAGAGGAAGGGAAAAATTTAGAGGCTCAGGGGAGACATGCTTTGACTTTATTAGAAAAATGTGTATTTATACAAAGCTCTGTATTACACCCTTTATATAACCGCTCCCCCAACAGACTGGAACCCAGCCTGATAAACTCCATGTAGGCTTAAGTGATACACACCCTGGTTTCTGTGCAGGATTTGCATTAATTATGCCACAGTTTTAACATTCAGTAGAAAAATGCTTGGTCTCCTTTATTATCTCCCATATAAATGTGACCAGTCTGCCCACAGCTACTTAAAAAACAAAGCATACACTTTTTGTGTCATTCTGTAAAAAAACAGACATTATCAAAATGCTACTGAAAACCATTACTTTTCTCAGTAGGTTATGCTCCAACTTCCACTTGATGCATCTTCATGCAAGTGGGGCCAAAGGCAGAGCCTCCGACATCGGATTCTTTCAGACAACACCGAGAGAAGTAAGAACCAGGCGGCACCGGGCTGAAGTGCAGAGGCAGCGTCTTGGCCCTACTCAGCCAGCTGGCTGAAGCTGTCTTCCCCCAAATGAGAACCGGGCCAGCGGGTGTGAGGAGCATGCCAAGGGCTGCAAGCGTGCAGAGAGAGCCTGGCCGGGGGACGGGGGGCAGCAGTTGCAAAGGAAGAGGCAGAGGCAAGCAGGAGGTGGCACTGGGCTCCCAGGGCAGGTGGGCAGGGCTCTCTTTGCCCATCACATTCCCACGAGGCCCTGGGAGTAGCCCTGGCCAGCTTCAGATGTCCATGCAGTCATTGTCCTCCTCTTCCTCCTCCTCCTCTTCCTCCTCCTCCTCCTCTTCCTCCTCCTCCTCTTCCTCCTCCTCAGAGTCACTCTCCAGAGAAGACTCTTGGCTCGAGGTTTCCACAATCTCCAGGGCAGGCTGGCAGAGGCTCTCTTTCTTCACATTGGCCGCAGACTGTGCCGAAAGAATGGCAGACTGTTCCGGAAAGAAGGATGACTGAAAATCAGTTACTCTTCCAAACGCCTCCCCGTCAGGCATACAGATCACACACTCTGCCTCTTCAAACTGCAGCCTTAATGGTGGGATTAACCTCCAAGCACAGAGTTGGTTTCCAGCACAGAACAGGGGCAGTGGCTGTTCCGGATCAAGGTGGGGGGGGGACCAGCTGTTACTCACAAGGCTTGGAGGGATGAGATGGCCGAGGGCGGGGGCTGGCTCTCTGCCCTTCCCCCTCCCCCAACCCTTCTGGCTTTCTGGGCCTTCACAGACACCCCACTGTTTGCCCCCCACCCCCAAGTCACACACCTTCAGCTTCTGCTTGGTCTCTTCTGAGATGCTGCCCTTCGGGGACAGAAGGGTGGGTGTTGGCGGAGTTACGGTAATCTCGGGGGGGAATTTGGAGACAGACGAAGGGATGAAAAGCTTCGGCATGTTGGGCAACGTGCGGGATTTCACTCGGCTACTGTTGGCTTTGCTTGTTTGCCTTCCCAAAGGATGCGAATCTGCACCAAGTTCTGTCTTGGAGCTAGATGCTAAGACAATCCCCCCATCAGAAAAATAAGTAAGCATTGGGGTTCTTTGAATGCCCAGATAGGGCACCTCTGTGTGACTGCACTGCTCAACAGACCTGGGCCCGTCTTTGCCCCCAAGAAATTTTATTCTGTTTCTATGAACTATTTTGAAAGGCTCTTTCAGCCTCTTTTGGGGCCTGGAGGGCAGAGTGCGAAAATGGGGTGCCAAGCAGATCCTTCTCACCCTCAAGTGGAAGCAGGGGCTGAGGGCTTTCCTCACCTTGGCCACCAGTCTGTCCTGCTGACTCCAGCTCCACTTGCCAGTGTGGCAGACTGGAAGAGGGGATGACAGCCGCCATCTTCCCCTGCTGGCAGAGGTGCAATTCTTGCTGCGGTCCGCCCAGACGCTGCTCCAATCTGCTCTCTTCTTCTTCTGCGCGAACAGAAAGACCCAGCAGGACTTGGTTTAGTCTTAGAAGATGTAAACTACCTCTCCCACCCTACCAGTCACAGGAGATGCCAATTGCAGCCCTGGCAGCCCTCTCCATGTTCACATACAGAAGAGCTTCAGGCTCATCTGAAGTTCTTGGGGAACATTCCAAACGCTGACATTTGTTTAGGTCAAGAGTACTGGGTTTTACTGGAGGGAATTGGTTTCTCTGGCCAAGCAAGGGAGCCCCCAAAATACAAGCCAGAGAGAAGCCAAGGAAAGGGGGGCTGTATTCAGGCCACCGAGAGGAGGGGCAGTGGTGGAGCAGTAGTCAGGATATCATCACCACCATATGTGCATGGATTGGGTCCGCTGCCTTAAGCAATTTACATTCCAATGTTTTAACTCCTTCTCTACACTGGAAGATGAGAAGATGCTATTTGCGTGCATTCGAATGTCCTATGGTAAGCATCCCACAGCAGAGATGTAAGAGGACTCTTGAAACCTGGACACAAAAGGGGCTGCTCCAAAGGTCAGATACGTGGCAGTATTAAGGATGTGAATTAAGCAAAAGTTGTAAACCAGCACGAGGAGCCCAGGGGCGGGGAGGGAAATCCCACTGCCATTCTGGGGAGCTGTGCTGCAACCCTGTTTGCTGTTGTCTATGGAGGATAGAGCACTGGCCCTTGAGACTGTCTGCTAGCAAGTAAACCCGCATTTTCCCTACAAGTGGTGGAACCAGATGTCCTGTTCTTAACAATTCCCTTCACAAGAACTCCAGAAATCAGCTACCCACGTGCCCATCAACCCCAAAGCCCTCTGAGACAGAATAACAGATGCACAATAGAAAAGATACATCATACCTTCCAACACTTTCCTGCTTTACTGGGGAAAAATCAGGCTGGCAACAAAACTCAGCCCCAGCAGCCCACTCCAATCCCACTGCCAGCCTCTTTTCCCTTGTTGCCAGGACAACCCATGTTTGCAGATGCTGACAGCAGGCGGTGGGGTTCATCTGCTGGCAATTCACATTTGCCTACTCCCTCCAACTCCTCACACACGCATTCCCAAAAAGAAATCTAGAGAGGCAGATGGCCACTTCTCCAAGAGGTTCACCAAAGCCTCTTAGATTCATACTCTCCTGGTCTGTCTGCCCACGGCTTCAGGTTCAAGACCTTTTCATTCTTTAGCCCAACAACCAGGTCACACAATCCATTTTTTTATGCTTGACTACCAGTGCTTAAAGAGGCGAGAGGTCAACGGCTCGTGTTTCAGAGGTCTTGGGTCCTGCTTCAGCAGCAAGTTCTTCTGCAGCCACCAAGCCCTGGCAACCAAGGGAGGTCATGTCAGTTCCCACAGATGCACTTCTTTCTGTGTCTTTCAGATCAAATGAAGACCACTCTGAAATCACCTGATTTTTTAATACGTTGTAATCTCTTGGCCGTCTCATTTCTCATGCTCCCTGTTCAGATACCACCACTGCTTTTAAAGGCCGCTTCCTGCAACTCCAGGACTCACATTCTCCTTCCTTTTGTCAAATGGAGCATCTTGGGAGAGGCTTCCTGTTACTGGACTAAAGGCTGATTCCAACCTATGAATGAATGCTAAGAGAAAAGAGACGCCCCTCCAAACCAGTGTCTTGCATCTTTGGAAAGTACCAATAAAAAGATTCACCCCATGCACAAGTACTAGAAAGTGCAAAGCTCAACAGCATGCATGTTTTCCATCAGGGGCTGCCCAGCAGAAGAGGTGAATGGAGCAGTCATGGCTATGGAGAGAACATACTGGTTGAGTCTTCTTACAGTGAGCAATGTCCCCTCCAGTTCTGCTTCTAAATAAACAATGCCAGCCACAGGAACAGCCCAGTATCCAAACTTAGGAGCCCCAGTGGGAACAGATTCTTCTGCACAAAGGAGGCACACTGACCACCCAAGCAACGGGAGGGGGGATCCCCACTTGGCTCCAATGTCAGCAGAGAAATCCAGTGTGGGACCCTGAGGGAGACTTTTTGCCCCTGGGGCTGTCCTGAGAACCCTGTGGCTCTGCCAGCTGCCTGCTGGGCAATGGGTACCATCAATGGTCCCTCTCTTCAGGATCCAGCACAGCAAGGCATGGAGAAATGGGAGTTAACTTGACTACATCAAATAAAGCTAAAATTAGGCACGAAAGTGCACGTGTTGATCTCTGAGTGAAACTTGGGCTCAGTTCTCATGCTGAAATGTTTTGAAATGCTGCCTTTAAGTGTGATTTCCAGAGACTGCTGTTAAGGAATCGCCTTAATTTTGGTGGGCTATCAAAGCACTTCCAGGAAGCTCTGAACAGGACCCCAAGTGGACACATCCACACACATGGGATGCTGGGACTGAATCTAGTCAGGTCAGGCTCACTGTGCTTAGAGCTGGAGGAAAGGCCAAAGGACAGAAATCCAGGACACCCATGTTACTCATTGCATAGCAGCTCTTCATGGTGTTTCTCCAGTAGGTTGTGTGGTCCAGGTGTTTCTGTAGCCTGGTGGATCAACCTCTAGATGCCAGGAATGTCTTCACCATGCTAAATTGCCTCAAATGTCCAACATACCCTAGTCTCCAAATGATCAGGTACAGTGGCTGATGCACTCCTTCTCCAAAGCTGTTAAACCAAAGACACTCAGCACTTCAGGGGATGTAAAACTGAGGTTCATGGCCCTGTTTAGTTGCAATAGGTGGCTCGGGAAGATGAATCTGGGGACAGGATGATACAATCCCTAGATGGAAGAATGGTGAGTCGATCCTGGATTAATCTTTGATCTTGGCACTGGACATCATGATGGATGACTCCCAAAGAAATCCCTGTGCCCAGCTGTGGACAGTTAGGGTGGGCGGGCGGACACTGGACAAATTCCACGTATATTTTATTTAAGTAGACCAGGAACCAAGTTTTTCACAGAATCCTCTCTCCTTTCCGTGCTCTCTTTGTGTTGTGATCTGGATGAAGAAGAGCTGTTTTGTCTGTCTGACTCCAAGAGAAAAAAGACTTCAATGAGCATCCAGTGTGAGGCATTCAGACGTTGCAAGGAAGACCAGTGCTCAGAATGAGTGGAGGCCTTCCCAGGCCGCCATCTGTGCTGCAGGAGACAGCCCACAGATGCAGCAGAAAACAGCAGGCCTGAAGGATCAGCTTTTTTGAAGTAGCACTCCTTCAAGGGAGGTGGGACTTTTCTCTGGTAGGTGGCCAACACGGAGGGAAAAGGAAGGGAGAAGACCAAAGACAGAGGCATGACTTTCAAAATGGAGCATGAAAGTGAAAGAGGAATGAGAACAGGTTGGTGTGTCTGGGATAGTGCAAAAGTAGAGGATGTGGGTGAGGCCCGCCTCCCTTTCGCCTTCCTTCCTGGATCACCTGTGAGGCTGAATCCTTCTTTCATAATTTAGGGCTTGGGGCCCCCAGAAGCCACTCTTACTCACTTCTTATGCATATTTCTGTATCACTCAGCTCTCAAGACTCTGAGCAGTATAGAAATGTCACTTGGACAGTCCAAATTGGAAAACAACGGTGAGGCATCTGCTGAAGAAACCATGTTTAGATTCCATGACTTCATGTAACTTATTCCTCAATGTCAAATCTACCGTTCTGGTGCAAGATGCTGGTAACTTCTCGATTTCACACTGTGTTGGATGATTCTAATTATATAGTTCCGTTTCAATTAGGCTTCAGACCTGGTTACGGTAAGGAAACAGTCCATGAATGGATGCTGGGTGATGATTCAGACAGCGCTTCCATCAGTTTTTCTGGATTTCTTAAGCAGTTTTCAGTGATATCAACAGTGGTATTTTTCTGGCCTGCTTTTGTGAGCTGAGAAGACATTATTTTATGGTGCTTCTGTTCCTTCCTGGACAATCTCAAAAAAGGGTTTTTGCTCACATGCAACCTCTGAATCCCCTTTGTGCAGCTCCTAAACCACTCTCTGTTAATCCTAAGATTTCTTTAACACACCCACACATACAAACATTTCGTGTGGGTCACAGCCACCCATAGTCATGTGGTTCCATCCCCTTTCCTGTACATTTCAACAACTATGAGATGCCACTGGAGGAAGTCACCCAAAGGTTGGAGCACAAGTGGCACCAGGAAGGTGATTGATTGATTGATTGATTGATTGATATATATACACTGCCCAACTCCAATGGACTCTGTGACTATTTGTGATAATTGGCGATGATGTCCAGGACAAGATGAAGGTATTAAGAGGGTAGGGAACTGGCATTTGGTGAGGTTGTCACTTGGAAAGACTGAGTCTATGGTCTAGGAGAAGGTTAGGTGGCCAGAGTGGCCAGGACTGCTTTTGACCAGCTTAGGCTGCTAATCCACCTGCCACCCTCTCTGGAGAGGATGGACCTTCTTGTATGCATCCACAACTGCCTTCAGGCTGGACTTTGTCGGGTTGCCTTTGAAGATAGCCTGGAAACTGCAGCTGGTGCAGAATTAACACCCCCTCCCGTAGCACACATACAAGTGGTGTATTCTCTACCAGCTACCAGTGCATTTCTGATCCCAGTTCTGAGTTCTGGTTCTTATCTTGAAAGCCTTAGCTGGTTTGAGACCAAATTGCCTAAAGGCTGCCTTCACCATTGCAGACTTGGAGCGCTGTAAGTTCTGAAAGGAAGGCCCTCCCCCTTGGCAGGGAGACAGCCTCTCCACCTCTGGAGCAGGCTACCTCTGGGGTCCATCAGCCCCATCACAGCCAGCTTTTAAGAAAGCCCTGGACAGCAATTTGTGCTCTCAAGCCTTCCTCCTGAACACATTTATTGCTGTGTTTGGACTTTTAGCTGACAGTGATGCAGGTTTTAGTACCCGCTGCAAAGGGATGCTTCAACTACTTCAAACCAGCAAATCTTAAAAAGAAAGTCCCATGTCTACCTAAGGCAACTGCCACCAACAGCAAGAAGAGACTCTCCAAGGCAGACATAAAGCATTTTCAGTACTCCAAGCATTCCAGCGCTTCTTTACAAGGGAAGGCTTACCAGGCCTGAGACCGGATGTAGGGGGCATCTCTTTGATGTTCTCCACCCCTGCTTGCTCCTGCGGTGGCAGGAGGAGACCGCTGGTGGAGGAGGAGGAGGAGGAGGGCGAGGCCGCCTTGGGCTTGGTCTGCTGATCCGTCAGTCTTGGGAGGGCTTCTGCAACCGAGGTGTCTGCAGCAGTCCCCGCGGGGGGTGTCAGAGATTTGGGAGCAGTGGCAAAGAAGTGATCCCTGCTGTCTCTGGGGTGCTTTGGTGTGGTGGGAGCATCTCCGGCCGACTAGGAAGGGAAAAAAAGGAAAGGCCGTCAAAGAGGGTGATGGGTCAAGGGGTGTTTAGTGTCCTTGCACGCAGGGCCGGCATCTCCATCCCATCTGCAGATTCTACTGAGTACATTTTTTAAACCTCTCCCTTTGCTGCACCCCCGTCCCTAAACGTCTCTATCGGTCATGCTGAAAAAGCTTCCAGAAGCCGGGCTTGTGTTTTCCTAAACAACGTATTTTGGAAGACGTGGATACGAACACATGTTCCTCCTGAAAGAAATACAACAACCAAAGAGAAAACAGGACTTTCTCTTGGACCGTGCCATGATGAGCCAAGAGAGAAGAGCGCAGCTTTGAAATCAGTCTCAAGGGCCATGGGAGCTTCCACGGGAGCAGGACCAGGACCAGGGTTACTTCCCGCTGGCATTCAGAGATGCTCGCCTGATGCAAACTTCCTGCTTCATCTGGCGCTTTCAGGATGCAAATGAAAATGTTCCACGACTCTCATCAGAAAAGCCTTGGGGGAATGGGGAGGAAAGGGATCTGAGAGCTGGAACCAGCTGCTAAAAATGATGGGGAAATGCATCAGATAGAAATCTAACATGGCCTTAAGCTGAACCTAAGGATGGGAGCCAACCAGCATCTCTGAAACCCAGCACCACTTCGGTACCAGACCAAAGTGGGCGCACGGAGCCAATCCAAAAGTTCAGCTTCATGCTTCCACAGAACAGACCACATTTTGTTCTCCACATGCACCGTGGGATGCAAAACATCCCAACCATGGACAATTTAGTCACAGACCATGCAAAAACAGCTGTTCAGTGCATGGAGCTATTTGTACATGGAACACTTTGCACATCTCAACTAGATACCCTCAGATCGTTCCTGATTTCACTTGAGAGGGAAGAGGAATATGCGTCGTCTGCCGCAGCATTACAGCAGAACAGAACTAGAACGTTCTGGGTAGGAAAGCTTGAGCAGAACACAGGAAAGGGACAGGCAGACTCTGAACTGCCACATAAAAGTCAAGCTGCACCACTTCAAACGCTGAAGGAGCAGTCACCGCTCTGCCTCTCTCACTTTGTTCTCTGCAGCAGCAGCAGCAGCAGCAACAGCTCTCTCGTGTTTGATTGCTGAAAGACCAGCTTGGGACTTACTTGTTTTTGGGCAGAAGCACCAATATGCACTTGACAAAATTTGACGGCCTGCTCCAGAGCTGCCGCTTCGTCAACCTGCAGAAAGAAATTATGTGGGAGCTAAAGCAGCCAGAAGATGCTTCCTAAAAGAGGTTGTCCCCAACCCCGTCTAGGCACGAGCTCTCCTGGGAAGGCCCCACTCGAGATCCCACCAGGCAGCCTGGCCAGGAAGAGGGTCTCCCCCAAGAGGGGCTCAGCTGGTCACCCTGGAAGTCTCTTTGCCGAAAAAGGGCTTGTTGGCTGAGGCTGCCTTTCACACTGCTTGCTACCTTGCTTTTCTTTTCTCTTTTGCAACGTTTCAGTCAGGAGAGCGCTCGCTTGTTTAAGGCTGATTTTGGTCATTTATTTTTTAAAATTATGAAGCGCTCTGAGGGGAATTTAGCAAGAAACTGCAGGGTCGGCCATGCCTCAGTGCCTGCTGTCTCTTTCGGCCAACAGGCAGGGGGCCAAAAGGCCCCCTTTCCTCACCCATTCCCGGGATGCAAAAGAGGGAACCCAAAGAACCGCGTCGAGGTGCACCTGCCATCGTGACCCCTTTACTCACCTGCTTAATGAGCATGTACGTCTCCGACATGATCTTCTCAATCTTGCCTAGGTCGTAGGTCATGACCTTCTGACCTTGCTGCCACACGCGGTAGGCATCCAGGAGGAGCGTCTTCCCTGACTCAGCGTCGCCGGCCAGCTTCCTCTTCCGGCTGGGCTTCTGGCTCATCTCCTCCGTGGGGCAGGCCTGAGCCCGGAGCTGCTGGTGCTTGGAGCTGATGCTCAGGTCCTCCAGAGACAGCTCCGCCGTCCGGCTCTCGGGGGCCTGGTCCTTGCAGACCTTAGCAGAGGGTGCTCGGGCCGGCTCAGAGTAAAGAGAGGAAGTGTCCATTTTTTCAGGCTCAGCAGAAAAGTCTTCACACTCCATGGGCTCGGCAGGGCTCGGCTGAGGCGCTTCTTTCGATTCTCTCTCCGGCTTCCCCTCCGCTTGCTCCATCGCGGTGAGAGGTTGCTCCGGGGGGGTCTCTTCTCTGGCCACATTCTCAGTGCTGCCACCGCCGTGAGATGCTACCTCCCCTTCAGACAAAGCTGGCCTTGGGGGCAGGGTTTCCTGTCCTTCGTCCGTACCAGCCTTGTTAAAGACATCGGTAGTCATTCTGGTCTCCAAAACGCCACAGCACTGGCTGGTTTGATCTTCAGAGACCTTCAAGGCAAACTGAAAGTTAGCTGGTTGAATGAAGGCAAGAGCTCTGCGTCATGGGCTGCGTGGAGAGACGTACCTCTGGGGGAGATGGGCGGTGTATAAATTTAATAATAAATAAATAAGTAAATAAAAATACCTCTGTGAGCTCATGCAACATGTCCTCTAGCACCATCACGGTGAGAACAAAGGCGCGCTGGGCAAGAACCTGGCGATCCGCATCCCGCAAGTATTTCCTGTAGCCCGGGAAAGGAGGCACCAAACATGTTATGCAGAAACCATCCATTGTTTGAAGGGGACCAAAGACAGCATTCACAAATGGTTCAGTTCTGGCTTGATTTTTTTCCCCATAAGCTTCCAGTTGTCCCAGCAACTGTCTTTATAGCCATCCCATTCTGAAAGATGTGCATGACTGAAAAGCCATCCACCACCCCTGCTGCACCAGTAATATTCTCCCAGGCCCCGCCCGACAGGCCAGGGGCTACTCAAATTCAGTCACGGGTGTAGTAAAAGATTCCATGAATTTTATATCCAGTGGGACCTTTCTATCCTGAACCACAGAGCCACTTACAGAGTTGCTTAACTGAAATTAAAACCACACGACCCTGAATGGAAACAGAACCTGTAAAAGGCTTCAAGGAAGGATTTCTAACTGCATCTTTTCCTCCCAAGAGCAGGAGGATATTTACTTTGCTCCTTGCAGCAACTAATGATTGCTCATGCTAATCTTTCTGGGAGGAAAGTGTATCCTCAACCAACTTTGCCTATCAGAATTTTATGATGAAACTTTGCCCTCACTACAGGACATCACAGCACCATTTTGACCAAAATAAAAAGTGGTGTATGTTTTTGTTCTGGCAGTTGGTAAAGGCCACAGTCTGGAAAGGCCACCAACAAACGTTTTCCTTTGCTTGAACCGATCGCCCCATTTTTTCATCCAAAGAAACCTTCAGTCCAACCGCTGTCGTTTATCTAAACTTCGGAGAAAGTGCCAGCCACATAAATGAGCAACCAGCCCCTGGGTTAACAGAACGAAGTGCAAAGCCTCTTGGTGTGCTGTGCCCTGGACCCCCAGCTTTTGCCTCTGCGGGGTTCCCAGGGGCCCTCCCTATCAGCTCAAGGAAAAGCAGTATTTTGCTTGTGTGAGCGCTGCAGAGCAGGGCCTCCCTGGGAATGGGGCTATGGGACCAGAGGGGCATTTGGGGCTATCTGCACTGGGGCATCTCTCCTCTTCTTACCTGGGGCGGGGAGCTGGAACTGGGGACGTAGCCTCCAGCCCTTGCCCCAGGCTTCTTCTCCGCGAGCAAGCTTCACTCTTAAAAGCCTATGGGGTTCCGGCTTTCACCCTTCCCTCCCGGGACACCCTGAGATCCTTGCCCTTTGCACACGGAAGTGAAAATCTTTGTCTCTCACTTTCCCTGGTCAGGGGTCCTCTGCAGCATAGAGGAGATTTTCAGCAAGGTGGGGTAATCTTTGAGCTGGGACAGCACGTTCAGCAGGAGGACGATGGAGCGGTTCATATGAGAGGCGAAGCTACCAGGACGGTCGATTTCATCCACGGGGATGCGCCAAATTCCCTGCCCATAAAGCAAGAGGAGGAAATCATCATGAACCTGACAAGCTCTTCTCTCTCCCTGGGTTACACTTACAAAATACAGCAAACGTAAACCTGAGTTGGCTCCTGGCAGCCAGGGGGCCCTGCCTCTGGTCCCACCTCCTTCGACCCGGGTGCTCCTTTGACTCCCCAATCTAGTCTCAAGCCTGGGTTGGGGCCACCCGTTGGGAACGCCACTGGAGATAATTTCTATGCCGGGGGGGGGGGGGGGGGAGATTCCAGTCAGTTGTGGAAGAAACCGGTATGAGAGGGCACCTGGAGACGTACTTCAGGATGCTGCCAGTACTTGGGTAAGACCAGCACCATTTTTCTTTTTTTTACCTAATTCAGGGGAAGTAGAAGTTTCTATCTGCACTTGGAGGCAGGCACGGGCTGGATAAGGATCCAGAGGACGTCACTTTGAGGGTTTTGGAGTGCTCTGAGAGGCCGCCGTGGTGGGAGACCCACAGCCCTTGAGGCGAAGAGCTCCAGGGCTCTCCTAACAGTGAGGATACCTGTGGGCCGGTTGTGACCACTGAGAGCGTTCGCAGGACTGGGTGCTGCAGTCCCCGTGGGCTCCAACTGACTTGAACCACCTGGGTCCAGCCTGGCCTCCTGGGCCCCTTTCCAGCGAGGGCACTGAGGGAGCAGACCTCCCCCAACCTCCCGGCTCCTAGGTCCTGCAGGCATCATCCTTGGGTTTTCCCCTCGGTCTGCTGAGCTACCGGGGGCGGGGGGGTGCAGCCTGGCTGCAGCGAAGTTCCCTACTTGGAAAGAGGCTCAGGTGGCCCGAGGGCAAAGCCTACCCGGCCTTGAGACCCGGGTTCACAGCGATGCACGTCGCACGTGAGAAAGGCAAGGCAGGGCCGCTCTACAGCCGGGGATTCGGGATGCCCGGGCGGGCTCGGCGGCTGCGCCCAGCATCACCTGGACGCTCCAAGACTGGCACCAGCAAGGCGGCAGCAAAGAGCTACCGAAGGGGCCGCCGATCGCCGCCGCCTGCTTTTCTCTTCCTCTTGATTCAAAGCGGAGCCGCCCAGGAAGGAAG